CCAGCAGTCACAGAAGGTTTAGCAACGACTTATGTATCAAATATGATAGTTATTAGAAAATGTTTCTTTACAGTTTAGGTAAAGTGTATTGCAAAACTATTATGTCTCAAAGTTAACAGAGTTAGTTTATGACTAAATTGAGACAGACAAATGACTTCTCTTCAAGTTAGTCCTCGTTTTGGTTCCCCTGTTTTCTCAGCAGTAGTTTTTGTGTACCGCTGTGTACATCAAAATGCGTGTCTCTTGAAGGTGGTATCCTTTAACGTTCCAGAAGAGGAGTAACCTCAGGAAGTTGAGTTTCTGAGAAAAAGAAGCAATAAATGCTCCGAATCGTTCTACTGTACAGATAGGAGATATACTAAACCGCGAAGAGTACCGATATAAAATACCACCACATGCGGGAGTAACGTAGCGTAACTTTTGGTTTTCAAAAGTACTAAATAGAACGATTGGTAACGTTAAAGTTATAGTTTAACAGATCACGTGTAGGTTAACGTCCTGGTGAACCAACACTGTGGCGTCTGCTATTGCATTTTCGATCTTGCGAAACGCTTGCAATGCCTCGAGAATCATGCTGAAAATTTACAGTGACATTTCAGCCGGTTGGTCAGTGCAATTAAAATATATGCACACTGGAGGACAAATCGATGGTAAAAGATCACCATCCTAATGAATGTACGCGGCGCTCCAACAACAACATCCAAGGTATATAGTGTGAGTAGAGGATACTTGTAGTTTTCGAACTCTTACTTCTAGGTTTTTTGGTTCGTTTCTTTTCTTCGGTTGTACTCTCTTGACGGTCGCAGAAGTCTTTGCTTTCTCCTGCTTATACCTTTGCAGGTACTGACTGTCAGTTTGGCGGTATTTATTTGCAATTTTTTAAAAATTTGTTTTTGGGGACAACAGAGCTGCTGATAAGGTCAGTCAACCGCTTGCGGTTCGTGTTTCTGAAAGCACATGCAAGCAAATATCAAGCGTTATCTAAAGAGTGCTAGAAATATGGTGAGTGGGGAATAAGAAAAATGGGAGTGAAAAGTACTTATGAAAAGATAAGTGTTACTGGTAATAATATGGAGAAGAAATGCGTCTTATTGCAGATACTAGGGTTGGCGAATACAGGGGTGGGAGGGCCTATCATCAGTTGCTACTGACAAGTGTTCGTGGTAAGCCATTCGCGCTCACATGCTCATCCAGGAATCGTTCGGGGGAGTAGACTGGTGTGGCTTTGGCTATTTCTTTCGGCAGCGCTTTCCATAAGGGATATGCAGTGTGGGCGAAATCAAATCCCACTCTCGTCCTCGCCCTATGGGTGAATATGCGATTGGGGTTCCCAGAGGACTGTCAGTTTTGGATCGATAACGTTGTCCTATTTGGGTGGTCCACTTTGTGAATGATTTTGTTGGGTGTCATCAGGTCACCTCATTTCCTTCGATAGCTTAGTGTGAACAAGTTGAGTTGTCTGAGGCGTTGTGCATAGGTTTTGCCTATTAGTCCGACAACTGAAGGCAAATTGAGCTCCCACGTGGGAAAACCAAGCAGATGATCTAGGGGCTCAGAAGGTGGGATGCTGGACAGTTGTGGTCACCCGCACAGTACAGTTGTTGTTATCAGCCATTGATAAAAGATACAACGAAGCATGACATTAATAATAACAAAATCACAACGTAAAACACCAAAGGAGAATGCAATACAAAGCCGAATAAAACCGTGCCAAAAATAAAAATAAATTACGGTAGGATAAATAAAGTACCAGATACAGTAAGAGAATGATACTCAGGCTCACTAACTGCAGGGCTGCTGGTTGTATTGCTGTTACGTAGCGCTTAATCAATCTTACTTAACTCAATGTGCTCTAGCACCTGCTTAATCTTCACCTTACCTAAAGTGTAATTGCTGATCCAATATCCAGTATCCTTTTACGAGCTAGTGTAAACCGATTGATTTCTTCCCGCTCACTGCAAAAGAACCGGTATTCAGGAGTGTATCCAAAGCAGCAATATATTTAATTAGAATAAATGTGATGGTAATTATTAGAGGAAAAGTCTATCCAACTTATCTGGCTAGTATGGCTGAAATAGGGACCCTGGGGATGTGTGTTAACCATCACAAAGGGAGCTCAAAATAGCATTGGAGCCTGCTGAGATACATGTTTTCTAAAAAGAAACTCAAGACACCTTAAGCATCCGGAGGCATGCTAAAGGTATTTTAGTTAATTAATATTTAGGTAATTTAACTCAATTTATTTATTTTAGCGCTAGTTGCGTTTTGGTGCGAGGTTGTCGCAATTCAAACATTAAGGGTAATCACCATCTCCAGACTGAATTATGAGTCGTGGTTGAAGTTTGTATTAACAGTCTGGTGGGAATTAATTGAATGTTTCGAACGAGAAGTGTATTTGCCTCCTCAGCTCTCCAGTCTTGTTTCATAGACTTTAGTTTGAGTGTGTGGTTTAATGATAAAATCATCTTGCTGATAGGAAGTTTCTGAATAGTAAGCTGGTTACTGTTTCAAATGATGAAATGACATTTAGTTGATGCAAAAAGACTGGCTGGTTAAAAAGGCATTGAATTTGAAGAGCAATGTAAGACTGTGTATATTTTCATCAGCTTTTCTCGAATACAATTCGAAAATTTAGGTAAATAACTTTGTCTTTGTATTTTTGTACCACACTATGCAACATCTCATGTTCATTATTGAAGTTGAAATTGCATAACATATGATACTGTCATTTCTAAAATACCAAGAATTCAATCTTATATGCAGAAAGAAATATACCACTGAATGACATAAGTACAGTGAAACATCGAAGGCTTATTTTCTTATTTTGATTGTCAATAAACGTGAGTTAAACCCTCAGAACATAATTTTTTTCATTTCGGACTGGACCAATTCATGCTTTTGCCGAGTTGGATAGTCTGGCAGTTAAAAAATGCCCAACTGTGGGAAGGGTTAGTAGTTTGAAAGCAGTCACTGAATCTTTTCTGTAAACAGCAACTGTATAAGCAGAATGATGAAGAAACTTAGTCGCAGTGCAGATTCATTGGATGAAAATTTTGTGAGCAAGTAGGTGAAATAAGACCATTCCTCAGTAGTAATTATCTATCTTTATCCGCTGAAGATGAAACTTGTGTAGTAAAATAATATTATGAGTTCTAAATCTAATTATAGACGGTATTCAAAAAACAGCCTGTAAGATAAGGATAAGTGTTGAATTCATTATTGTAACTGTCTCATAGCCTTTCAATTGTGAGTTCTTCTGGTTAACAAATATTTTAAGAATAGGTTGTGTGATATCATTGTACATCTAGAGGATGTGTGGGTATTTCATCTTTAAGATATATGAATACCGAAAACTGTACACAGAAAAAATCGTCTCTAAAGAGGCTGTCAAGTACTACGATTAAAAAATTACTATCCATTTAAAGAGAAAATGTTCTTGAACCATCAGATCGATCTCAAGATCAAGATTTTTATAGAAGCTGTGTGCTACACATTACGTATGATTAGTAAAACCTGAAGATCTGTAGTGAGGTCGAAGATATTTCATATTAAAAGTGCAGTGAATAAAGGAAACTAAAACAAGGCTGTAAATGATAAAAACCTTTTTTTTAATCGTATGAAATCTTATACTTAGATAAGTGTTTCTTTCCATCAGCTGATTGGAGGTGATCAGCAGAAAGCCCTGGACCTAGGTTTCGTGCTTATTGACACTTTTCAGCAAGGTGTGTTTACAAACTCTAGGGAACTGATGTCTCCTGTAATATTCGGAATTTCATCACCCAATGTTGTAGTCAGTGACGTTATCACTGAGCTATTCGCGTAGCGACTGACCTCTTGTAGAACTGAAAGGTATGCACAAATTGGTTGTACTCCAGTGACTAGCCAACGTATAAGTGTTTTTGTTGAGGAAATTGGTTGTTATCTAGAAAAAATACTACAAGTAGTATTATCTTTCGATTGTATCGGTTTGCTTTTAACTTTAAGTCTTACAAAGTGTTTTCGATAGGACTTCCATCACTATGAATTTATCAATAATCGGACTATTTTATATCTTCCTATTTATTTATTCTTACATTACTGTTGTGAGAGACTGGACCCTTCACGCATATTTTAGTCTTTTGTCGATGATTACCCCAAAGGCTTATAAATTCATTTTCGTCCATATTTGGCATCCCGGTATCTATGTATGGCGACCACTTGGTATTATTTGACAATCGCATAGTTATGTCATATGGCTTGGCAACGGTGAACAGTTTAGAAGCTGGTTATCGTCGATAAGCTATCCTTTTTGTGTTTGCACTCTTAAAAGTAAAGTTTAAATTCCTAATAAGAAACCTTAAACGTCAATACTGTTCATTATTGTGTAACATATCTAACTGCTTACATAAAATATAGAAAATAACGAGGGTTTCGTGGAGCTAAACATTGGGTGAAGGTATCCTAAGGGAAGCGTGAGTAATTGTGTAATATGCAAATACTGTATCATTTGTCAGCAATGCTTGAAGATGTGGAAACATTTTATCAGTTCAGGGATGGTCATTTACATGGGAAAACTCTACTTTAATGAATAATGGTGATTATTATCTGCTGATTTGAAAAATAAAACCTCCCAGTTAGGAAAATCCCCCAACCACATTTTTATCAAGCTCAGTTCTGCTTTTTTCATAATGATTAAAATAGCTTAGTAGGTTACAGCGGAATACTCCATTTTATGAAATAATCGACAAAAGTATATTCATCACCTGAATAGCCTTAGGTTTTTTCATGATCATTTGCAGATGATAATAATTACAAGTGAATTAGTTTGAAGATCGTTAAAATTTATTCTACAACTATGGGGGGTTCAATGCATTCTCTTAATATTGTCGCTGGAAAACACATGAAAAAATTCACATGTTAATGAAATTTTTTGAACTTTTCACGTTTTTATTTTTCTACATGAAATTTTAACTATAAAAGATGTTGTTATAATTCTGTTAAGTAGTTTACTACATTGCGTACGTAAGTTTACAACCCAAATTTACTGCCATCTCTTTGATAGACAAAAATTGTTTTTTTAAAGTTTCAGTTACTGGGTGACAAAAGTCAATAAGAAGGAATGGACGCACCAATAACGTACGTCACCAGCCTCATTTTTAAAACATGATGTTTTCTTCGGAAAGTGTTTTTCGGTACCAATGGAAATATTTCTTTTCAAATAAAATGAAAAAGTCTTGTACCAAACATCTTAATAAAGATGAATGGTAGGGTGACATCGTTTATTTTTAATAATACAATTCAAGAGTAAGATACAGTACTTTAAAGATGAAGTAAACACACATTACCTAAGCACACTTGAATATAGCGGTTCTCAAATGAACACAGTATGTTCAGTTTGTACAACTGATAGCCCAAAGTACATACTTCTATAATCCGTTGTTCACACATTTACACTTCGATTAAATCATGATTATCAAATGGCAATCGTGTAAGTCCCCAGACTTCAAAACAAACTTTCACTTGTATTTTGTAGTACAAATGTTCTCTATGTCAGAACTAGAGCTTTCTGCTCTAATCAATGATACCTTGGTATCTCTAGAAAGTAATTTATGAAAGATTAAAAGGCACGAAAATGCCTCATTTGGGTACACTTCAACTCTTTAGTTGCACATTACCAAAATAGTCGGGGAGTTAGGTCTGTTTCACACTGCAGAATCAATTTTTAAAGTTGAATCGCCAGTATTACAAGCGTTAAGAAGGTTGTTCAAATTAAATTATTGTCATATGCGGTAAAAATGCTATCAGCATACCTTTAGTGCAGATGGAGTTGGCTATTTATTAGACTAAAGAAACCATTTTGAAGAAAAACTGAAAACCTTGAAGTCTACCAAGAAATGACACCATTGCCATGCCATCCTTCTGTATGTGGAATTCTTTGTTGAAATCAAACTGGATATTGAAGGTGCATCTGAGGAACAGTTCTTTCAAACGGTAGTAAGTTAGCGCAATGTTGAATTGGCCGGACCTAATGTATTCGTATATGAGGCAGATAGCTTTAATCGAAGGGTTGTTTTTGTACGGAGAAGTGAAATACAGAGGAAGCAGGTATAAGTCAACACACTGATATCATTCATTCATATACATCACCATATGCTTTCTCACTGCTCTGAGGATATTCACCACCCATTTAGTAATAAGATGAAGTCTGTTAGCACAGTTGAATTTGCTGCATTTCTTTACTGATTAAAGCAAATAATATTCTGGTTTTCTCAGGCAGAAATGTTTAATTTGGTATAGTTTACTGCGTGTACTTCTGAAATACTTCACTAGTTTTCAAACAAACTTTCTATGCATAGAACAAAATGTTCTTGAGATTTCTCAAAGGACACTCAGATTTTAAAACTGGGAGAAATGAATAGGCAAATAAATTCATTATAAGTGAACTAGATTTCAACCAGCATATTTTGTATGTTCAATTTCTTTTCTAAAAGGAGATTTAAACCGATGTAGCTCAGGAATGTCGATAAAATCGCATGTTCCAAAAAGTTAGTATAAACATGGTGTAAACAGATTGAATAATCTACAATTACTGATTTCCTGTTAAGGAACAGGAATCGTTGTGAATGTCTAGTATGTGACTATTTATTGGTATTTTTGAGTACACTAATATTAAATAATTACAGTTAAAATGCTTTTCCTCTAATGTGACGATAAAAATACAATGTTACTTTTTTACTAAGAATTTCTTGTGAGTTTAAACAAAGTTTTTGGGTGGATTGGCAACACAGAAGAAAACTGAAGTCAACCATTAGTATAGAGTTGTAACCGCTCTCTTCTTGATACTCTAAGGTAGACCGCAGTTTTCAAACCGACGGGGTGTCATGTAGTACTTAAGCAGACGTAAAACACATCAGGATTTTGAAGGTTTTATCAGCTGACATCAACTTTCGATAAGCTGTCCTGTGGGTTCAGTAATAGCATGGATTTCATCAAAATAGAATCAGTTACCTATACACTCAATGTTTGTGAAACAAACAAATAGCCATTTGAGATTATCACTGTAAGTCATGAATATCATAGGGACACAATTTCCTTTCGACTACAGTAGTTGACAAACATAAAAAGCAGACAAATACCACCAAAGAAAAATATCTTATTAGTTAACAAAAGAAACACCGATTTCTTGTGGTCACATTTGTAAGAGTAATCTTTAGGATCTAACATTGGAAACACTCTACAAACAGTGATATGCAACCTGAAATTTATGGTTAAAAGGATAGAAAAAACCTTTTAGGTCTATTCATTTAAAACAAGCTTCATCTTCTATGAAGCGGTTTAAAATATTTCTATTAAATACGTTAGGAAAATTGAAATCCATCCCTACTTCTTTTCACCAATAGTTCCGATGAAGTACGTCTTATATTCAGTCAAATTGACAAAAATCACAATGGGTTTGTTACACCACGAGAACTGAAGTCATTTTTCAGAAGACACGATGCGAAGTTTGACCGGAGAGAGATCAAAGAATTTGTCAGCAGGCTCGATGGTGATGGAGATGGTCAAATCAGTTTGCAAGAATTAACTCGAGGACTTACTGGGAGATATTGAATAGTACAAAGAACAACTTCCATTATAAAAAACCTTATCACTAAACATGTACTCAATCAAACATTTCTCTAACTTCCTAAATGCTTTTGATGTTTTGATGATTATTTTGTCCAACTTACTGATTTCAAAATGGCCGATGAAATTTTTTTGTGATACTTAAGTAGAGTTCTATACAAGATGTATCAGTTTTCGTCTTTAAAAAACAAAGATTTACGTCCTTCTTTGCAAGATATAGATCGTACGTAAAAGCGAGAATTCTCAACCACTTTTTTAATACTTGACTATAATGTCGGTACTTTTATTATCCGTCATAATTCGGTGGCCTAGTGGATAACGCTGTGGCACTTGAAGCGGTTGGTCACGGGTTTGAGTCTTAGTGGGGAAACCACCACTCACTGAGAGGCAGGTACATCCAGATAGGTCGAAAAGCACATCCTGGATTCTACTACTACCCATAATGCATCATTAATAGTTGACTCCTACTTTTCAAAGCTGTGGTGTAGTCTGTACACCTTTTAACTCCGACGGCATCGTATCAAATACACTTGGGAGGTCAAGAATGGATAAAAAGTTAACAACTTTTTTCCACTGCTTTAACCATAGAAACTGAAGCGGCTTGCCAAAATATACTGTTTACATTTAACAACTGAAGGTTTTCAACATGAAGATAAATAATATCAGATACTCCTATGTAAAGAACTCCAAGTCATTCTACTAAGAATAATAACAATCATTATCTGTAATTGGATACTAACATTTATTACCACTGTGAAGCCTAGTTATTCTTCATGTAATAGAAGTTGATGAATTTATCTAGCATGCTGATGAAACACGTAAGAAAAACTTTAAAGGTAGCATTACACCAAAAAAATATTCACCATGAGAACAAAAAGAAATCTGATCGATAAATTATAAAATGAGACTAATTTCTACTTGAATAAACTAAGTTGCAGCAAACTTTCAACCCCTGACATGATAATACCAGGCAAAACCGGCAAGATAAAGCACTAAAATAAACTGTCTGTTAGCGAAACAGATTATAAATAGATGACCCTTAACAAGAAACAAATCCCAACATCCTGTTGAAATTTGAAAATTTAGGAGGTATGTTTGAAAATGTAACTATTTACACAATGTTCTACATCTAGAAATTTCGACTGCTGTTTTTCAGCTCCAGAATGTTTATTCACTGAACGAATTTCAGTTTTGACAGAAATACCATAAATGTAATGCCATTCTTCTGTATAACTTGACAAACCTACAGAAAGTTCAGTAGCAGATTAAACTCCGGTCACCAGTTATAACAATAAAAAGAATTGTAATCAATTTCCTTGGTTTTCACCGGTATAATCCTTATATTGGCTATGTGAAGTATGAAATCTACAACATTTTATGTTCTTGTGAAACGCAGTACACGCCTGTCAAAAAATAATTCAATTTGTGCTCGCTTTGAGAAAATGGGAGACTTTTCCAAGCTTATTGAAACTCTTACTACTTGCATACACATGATAGCCTATGTCAGTTGTTGCTCTTATCAAAATAATCTTCGGTTAAAAACAAAAACGTTTTGTCAAATTTATTTACCTCTATAATATACAGAGGTTCCCAATAAGCTTGCGTTAGCCAACTCACGTGTCGTTGGCTTTTCATCAAGTCGCGCTTACAAATGGTCAGGCAAAGGTTTAGCTGAAGTTCTTGTCGTAGGCCGGGATGCTACTTTGATTGAACTCTGGTATGCGTTGGAAAAGTTAGCACCTTAATAACTCTACAAGCCTTAGGTTTGCAGCCAATACAAAACAGTAATTAAGAGAGTGTCTGGCTTTGCCTACTGTGGATATGCGAATACCAATTGAACTGTTGCTGTAGAACAAGTTTTATAGAGCGCAGTATCAGACATATCCGTCTGATGATGCGAGAACATACACCTACCTGGTTTGCAAAGGGTGAGATCAAATCCATTAGAAGTTCCATACTACCACAGCTAATAGACGTAGGATACCAAATAGTTGCTAACACACCTTTTGCTGTGATATATCGCATTCCTAAGGCTCTACCATCTGCCATTCGTTTACGCATTCTCCATGTGGCGAAATCTGTAGCTATAAGATCATTTAAGCCCCGAACTTAGTTTTCAAAAAGAACGCATTCAAGCCTTACTCCTCCCTTGGCTTTCCACTGACTAAACGGTTTTCCCTCAACCTTTTTGTTTTTTTCTTGATATTTTTTCTGCTTTCATTTCTCCTTCCTTCTTCCTAAAAGAACAAAATTATCATTATTAATACTATTATTTTAACCATACTTCCTCCCTTCTTATCATAATAAACCTTTAAAATTGCTGTAAAAACATTTTCTAGGCGTTTTTATTACCATTATTATCTCAACCTTTTCACATGTTAACCATGTTATAATGGTATAATCCACTCCATTTCTATCATTTTGGTAAATTTATGTCATTCTTTTCACAATTCACTCGCTCGACACGATGCAACCTTGAACTATATTTTTAATTTTCGTTCCCCATGCAGGCAGTCACAATAACTGTCTGATCAGCAATCAACTGAAAAAGTGTACACCAAACTTATCACCTCAACTGACATTATATATATGTAGGCGTTCCGAAACGTAAATAATTTGATTATAATTATAATTCCTTACCCATTCTAAGATGCATTCGCAACAAATGTTGGCCATTAATATGTTAAAGAAATTGATGTTTTGACTACAGAACCTGAGAAGACATTGAAAAGAATATTCGACGTTCATATATGACTTTTAATGCATGAAATAAGAATCCTCAATTGTCTGAAAATATATAGAATAGGCGAAAGAAGTAGCCCTGTCGAAAACAGGTTTCTACTACTCAAGATCAAGTCAACAGAGGGGAGAAAAAACATTCTTTAGAATGCCCAGAAACTTCAAGGAGTTGGAGTATTCATGAGTGCGGATTTGTCTCTTGCTGATCGAATCAAATAACGAGAATTAGAAGCAGAACTGAAATCCTGATTAGCAGTAGTAGGGAAGGGTCTAACAGTGGTGGGTTTCTGCATGATGAGGTTTCGGTGAAAAATGATTCCGAAACCTTAATTATTATATAATCATTAGTCCCTTGGGTTCCTAGTGGAACATAGGGCTTCAGTAGTACGTCTCCAGTGACCTCTGTTCTCTAAGATCTTTTGAACCTGGTTCCACGACAGCCCAGAAGCTCTCATTTCCTCCTCGCACGACCTCCTCCATATCACCCTCGGACGTCCCTTGGGGGTTCCACTCGAGGGCCTGGCCTGACGCGTGATGTCCTCAGTCGGCCTTCTCAGTGCATGGCCAATCCATCTCCACTTCCTCCTGCATATTTGTTGAGTGATAGATTCTTGGTTGGTTCGTTCCCAGAGGTCCTTGTTCCTTATTCTTTCTGGCCATCTGATCTTCTGTAGCGAGCGTAAGCAGTTGTTGATGAATGTCTGCAGTTTGTTGGGAATCCCTTTCGTAACGCGCCAAGTCTCTGAACCATACAGAAGCACTGGCTTGACGCTAGTGTTGAAAATCCACATCTTGTTCCGTATGCTGAGTGCAGTACAGTAGATCTCTACACTGGTTTCAAGCTGATGGATGCATGTCTTGCTTTTCCGATCCTGGCTGGCTTTGACATCCTCATCTGTGCCGCCTGTAGTTGAAGCAGTGCTGCCTAGGTAGGTAGGTGAAGGAGGCTACTTCCTCCAAGTTTCTCCCGTTGATGGTGACTGGAGTTTGTTGTTGTTGTTGGAGTTGTTGGTGCGGTATCTTCATCAATTCTGTCTTCTCTACATTCACCTGAAGTCCTGTCTTCGCTGCCCTGCCTCTTCTGTCAACTTGTTAGTTTTCGCCTGTAGATCTTCAAGTTTGTGTGACATCAGGCACAAGTCATCGTTGGCGAAATCCAGATCTTCTGGGTTCTTTTCCGCAGTCCAGCTAGCGTATCCCCCTCTTCTCGTTCCCCACTGTTTGCTGCATGATCCAGTCCAATCGACCACAATCAGGAATATCATGGGGGAGAGTAGGCAATCTTGTTTCACTCCTGTCTTCGCTTCATAAGCATCACTGAGCTTCCCATTGTGCATTTCTTGGCATGTGGCGTCTTCACATAGTTGTTGAATGAGGCGGATAAAGGTTTGCGGTATTCCGTAGTAATGAAGCAGTTTCCAAATTACTTCTCGGTCGACGCTGTCAAAGGCCTTCTCAAAATCGATGAAGTTGAGGTAGAGAGCTGATTGCCATTCTATGCCCTGTTCTATGATGATGCGAAGGGTTGTAATTTGGTCTGCACATGATTTGTACTTCCTGAAGCCTGCCAGCCTGTTCGGGTGTTAGTTTTGAATCCAGTGCATCTTTAAGCCTCTCCAGGATGATGCAGCTTAATATTTTGCTTGCTGTGGGTGGACAGGAGAGTGATTCCTCGCCAGTTCTTGCAAACACTGAGGTCTCCTTTCTTCGGCAGTTTGACAAGGTAACCCTTCTTCCAATCAACCAGCAGGTACCCTCTCTTCCTTCCACACCTTCTGCAATAGTGGTGTGAGCATGTATGCTGTTGTCTCTGCGTCTGCTCTCAGTGCTTCTGGTGGGATCCCATCTGGTCCTGCTGCTTTCCCACATTTCAGTAGCTTTATGGCGTTCAGGACTTCCATTTTCGTTGGAGGATTAATGTTCACTTGTAGTTCAGCGGCTGCAGGTGGTATCTCTGGACGAAGTGCAGGTGGTGGTCGATTCAAAAGCTTTCTGAAGTGGTTGGCCTATTGTTTCCTTTTTTCTCCTCTTTGGTAACTAGCTTTCCTTCACTATCTTTCATTGGTTTCGTCTGCGTTGATCTCTTCCCGGATAGTAACCTGGTTATTTGATATAATGTTGTCAGGTCTCTCCTACCAGCAGCCTGTTCTGCTTCACTTCCCGATGTGTCGTAGAAGTGTCTTTTGTCTTTGCGCGCACTCTTCTTCACTTCTTTGGCCAGTGTTTCGTACGTTGTACTCAGTTCGTCTTTTCGTTGTGGATCCCACACTGCACTGGTTCATCTTCTGCTTCAACATCCTCCTCTCCCTGCTCTATCAGCTTCCATGTATCCGTCGAGATCCATTCCTTTACTTCTTTCCTCTTCCTTCCTGATACGGTTATGCAGGTTTCTTTCCACATTCTTTTCAAAGACTCCGAGTGTTC